ATAATCTTTTGATTATTACAAATTCACATATAACTCAATTCAAATAGTGAAAGTTAGATATACTTTGATTAAAAGGAAATAGAAAAGAAAGTTTATACCTTTTAATCTTTAGCTATTGTTAATTATAAGGTGGTAATGCTTATCTATGTTATTTATGACTGGTGGATAATGTGTTATCGGTTACATTGCACAGTTAATGGTATATTACAGTAAGTGTCTAATGTTAATGGAATCAATAAATTGGATTACGTTTTTGCACTGTAAAGAGGTACTTAACATCTCTTCTTATCGAGATTAGCATTTCCACTTTTGTTATGGAATTTTGGGCAATCTATTAATATGTGATTCACGCTAATTGTGTTCCTGTACTGGTACACATTCTGATCTTGCAGTTTTTGTGATTAGATGTTGACCACCAACAATTAATTTCTTGATGCACTTTATATTCTCTAGTGCTCCCAAACCAAACGTGGCAGACAATATACAGTGGGTGATCAAATTATTATAGCCACTGGCATAAATTGACGATTTTATATAAAAACGATTAATTCTTAAATAAAAACTTAGTTAAACAGAATTTTTGTTATTTGTATCATGTATTGATGCTTGTAAAGTTATGATACATAGTTGACAAAAGTGAATGTTCCTGACTGGCCTGAAAATTTTCCGGACCTCAACCCCATTGCAAATTTGTGCCAACATTTATTATTAGATAAATTATATTTTGTATAAGAATTTTTTTGTATATTATTCGTGGAGGATTATTAATTAAAAGCTATTCAACGTAGAAATCTTAAAATTGTGGCTCTATTTCTACACCTACACATGAAAAACCTATTTTTCATACCGTGGCTCTATTAATTTGATCACCCACTGTATTTTCCACGATGAAAGAAAATACTCGACAATAATTTTTATTAAAATCTAGGAATTCTTGCAGAATTCTGACTGTTCTAAATAAATTTGTTGACTGCTGAGGACACCAGTAAAATAATTGACGCATTATTCAAATGACCATCAAAGAATAAAGTGAAAAGCTTGTTAAATTTCTCTGATAAACTAATCTGCGCTTTCGTGACGAAATGTTTCTTGAAGCTTTACTGAAAACGGGGACAGCACTGCGTGCATACATGTAAATACCTACGTACGTTCTTACTCTACTAGGAGGTTTATCTGACTGCACGTTTAAAAAAAAATTAATGGCGTTTTAAAAGTTTCTAACTGGTAGAAAAATGGGCAGATTATTAATGACGCAAAGAGCTTGGACTTATTGCTCCTTTATGTAGCTTTATTCTCTGCAGAATGAAAAAAGGTTGGCTATTACTCGACGTCATTTACATTTATTCACGTGTATAAAAAAAAAGAGAGAGAAAGGCTTTCTACGGTACGAAATCGTGCAAAAGCACAATCGAATGTAATTGACGGTACGTTAATTGCAAAAAACTAAGTTCCCCGTATACCGTCGGATTGCTGACAACTTTCTGCATTCATTTTCGTATAAATAGGCAAGAGACGATGTAATTTACAAAGACTTGGCTCGCTCCTAATTATAATCAAGCTCGCTGTACTAAGAATCAACCCTTGATCTGTCGAGACAATAAAGTCTACGAGGCTAATCTAATAAAATGGCGATTCTTGACATTAACACGCGTGCTGGTAGACTTTCTTTATTCCCTGCTACAACGGCATTTCGATTGCAATTAATTTCAATAGCAATTTCATTTGCGACCAATTAACGATAAAGAAGAATTTCTATCCTGAATTGCTCCGGACTGAATTCTCAAAGAAGAAATAAATTATTAAGTCTGCACCTAATCCGATCTAATTGTCACAGTTAATCTGAAGGTTTAAGGATGATTAATTTTATAATTAATACATGAAAAATAGATATATTAGACCCGCAGTCGAAAATCATAAAATCTCTACTAAAGTTTCATAAAGGCCTAACAAAATTATTGAAATCTCGAATACTTTGAATAGAAATACTGTTTTAACTTAAGGTGTTAGTTAGGGTTGTGCGGATATCCGAGCCTTGGGTCGCGTCAGGTAATCATCGAGTCAGGTGGGATCCCGAAAGTTTGTCCAATACATAAATTTATTCATGTACCCGTAATTTTGATACCCGAATATCAACTCGAAACTCGTTGTCAATTACATCCGATTATACACGAGAACATATGAAAACACTTGAAACTTGAAAAAGGCAAGTCTGAGAAATCACGCCCCGAACCGAGTTTCGTGTCTCGAGTCGAGTTTCTGTTCCGAGTTGAAATTCGAGTCTCAAAATTACGGGCACCCGAACAAATTTATGTGGTAAACAAATTTTCTGAGTCCCGCCCAAAGCCGACAAAAGTTCTCAACGTGAACCTGACCTTAAAGAAATATGTCTTTCTTAAAGCGGTCACTTAACCGCTTACGGTAGGAATAGATATAACATGAAGTGTCGGTAGGTTTAGTGTTAATAAAGTTTCTTATTTCTTTAATGGAGCTGTCCGTTTCTTGCATCGAAATATCATAATCATGTAATATAATATTCAACTATTATACTGAATTTTAAGGCCAACCTTGCGGAAGTGATCACATCAACACTGCACCAGGACACAGTGATTAAATTCTATAACACCATCGGAATATTGGACAAGCTATGAAGACCCTACTGATAATACAGCTCCCTACCATATATCCCTAATGTACCTGTAATTCTTAACACAGTCGTTAATAACTTCTGTTGTGGATGCGACTATAAACTCTTAATTAAAAAAAAAAAAAATTTCTGAATCTAAAATTGGACCTCCAACATTAGTAACAACGTTGTAATACCAAAATTCACTTTTTTGTTCATATGGATCTACATACACTATTACGACTTATGCACACCATGCAATGGTATATGCGGTGGTCATTAAAAATTGACTTAAAATTTCTCGCAGTCAACGATACAAAATGTTATCACTATTAGATTTACGTAAAAGAATCAATTTTCTCCAAAAAATGGAGCTGATCAGTTCTTGCACTGCGAACTTCAATTATTACCATAGACTCTGGTTATATTGCCATATGAGCGAACTAATCTTTATACTATTGTCGCTCTTCCATTATTATAGTCTACTTCTATGTCCAAATCCGATCTCTAAATGAGAGCTTGGAAAGTTAACAAATTTTTCGCTTCTACATCCCTCTTTGCGGCAATATAACAAGAGTCTACTAATATATAATTCATCTTATGTCCATTTTCACTGTGACAGTCAACATATTAAATTATTCCTAATAGGTAAATTTTTAATATCAATAGAATTACTATGTCAGATTTGGGATTTTTCATTTACAGAATGAACCGACTTTACTTTTTCACACCGGTGTGCACCACAAAGGGTTATTACCGATTTTGATAGGAGGTCTGCCGCTGATATACGCATCAAGGAGTTTCAAGCAGCATCATCAGCAGTAAAGAGAGTTGCTACTGTACACTGCACGCTCGGTTCAGTTAAGTCAGTGGGTAAAGTTTGCGAGAGAGGAAAGCCGAGGCTCGTTAATGTGTCGTAAATCGTTGCTCTCGCTCCGTGCACAAGTCAACCACGGAGATTATACTCGACCGAGCCAGTCAAAAGTGACTCTCCGTAGCTTAGTCAAGCATCCGGTCTTAACAATGTACCGCCCGAGCGAGGAATCTTCAAGCTCGAGTGCCCGTTACCGTGAAAAGCTTTAGCCCTGACAGAAGGCGGGCACCGGAGAATCGTCGAAAAAGCAGCTTAGAATCGAATGAGTTTGCACAGGAACAACAACGGAGTTTCGTGAGAGTGTAATCAAGCCGGGATCGAGGCGCGGGAAAAGGAAATCCACGCGACGAGGGATGACGTTCTCCTAGGCGATTTGAATTTCCGCTCAAAGGTAAACGCGCATCCGACACTTGCCAATCGTCTGACGAACGCCAATAAAGAGGAAGAGCGCGATAAGTTCGATGCAATAGCTTCTTAATTAGCAGAAACTCGTTAGATTGCCGAGATATTTTGAACAGGCCATTGCATTGATTTGCATTTACGAAGAAGGATCCTAAACCGCCCAAAATTTCCTTTGTCAATTTTAGAGTTATTACACTGTCCGCATTGCAGGAATTATCAAACGTTACGAGTTGAATAATAATTAATTCCTGAATACTACCGGTGAACGAAATTCCATATTTCCCCCTGTTATAAGTTTGTTCACCAATATATTGTGATCTATGTCAGAAAATTTATTATTTAACCCTCGAACAGCGGAGCCTGGGTCAATGTGACCCAAAGAATATTACCCTAAATTTAAATATATAATTTTTAAAGGAAAATCTTTTATATGTTAGAAAAATAATTTTAAATGAAAATAATATGAAATACAAAGTTAAAGTAAAATTGGGGCTTTCTCCATGGACCGCCGTCCGAGGGTTAGCTTTATATTTGCACTGCACAACCGACGCGACGGTTGCAATGATTCAGTCTGTACAACTAAAGATACAAAGCCACTGCTTCCCTTCTAACTGCTTTATACACTCGGTTTGAGGAAGAAAATATATATTTCTTTGCTCAACGGAGCTTCACCGGCTCGTACACTCTTTTGTCTTTTACTTCACGCTTGAGGCGTAACGAGGAAGAAAGGACTCGCGCGAAAGACGGCACGAGCAAAAGTAGAAAACATACTTTTTTCTGCTAAGTACTTTATTCTCCCGTAACTTGTCACTACGCGGTTTTTCGGCCCTCCCAGCTGACCGACTACGCGTGTACGTAAGAAAGAGAGCGTCGTTTACTTGTTGGCGACGTGCCGGGTAACGTGGCAAGAAAAAACCCAGTAACGACAACACGCCGTATTACGCGGTTATGTTTCATCCGACGAGCGTGGGGAGCGTTGGTGATCCTGTCACATCGTCACATTACGAATGATTACTCGCGTCCCACGCGCCACACACGCGTTTAAAGCACTTCATTTTTCGTAGCGATTTCACTGGACTGTAATATCACACAATTGCTTACCTGACATCACGAGGAAAACCAACGTTACACTTAGCCACAGGTGGCGAGTCATCTCGAATCCGTGGTAACTTTGTTCTTTTCCTTCACTGTTCACACTATGACACTTCACACACGGTTACGTCTTGCGCTGATTATCAAACTAGGTTAGAAACCGTTGACAACGCATCGATGATTTCACTGATTTCACGAAACAGTCATGGTACACGCGGACGTCGAACACCACCCTTGACTGAACTGTAACCGTTTAACCACACGTTGCCCGAAACGTCAAACTCACCGGGCGCAGCGTGCGGTACCGACTGATCGCGGCTACGCTCGGAAGACGGCGGCGGCGGTGGCGACAGCGGCGATTCGAATCGCCGTGAACCGCGAGACGGAGAGACGTTTAATTTTTCCTTCACGTGGACCGCGTCGCGCGATTCTCTTCCGTCAAACCGATGAACCGGAAAAGGTTATCGGTTGGCGAACGTTATCGATCACTGTACGAACAGCAACGGCACTCGCACCGCGAGAGATTTTAAGCACTGTTGACAGGGTAATTGCACGTATATCTGCACTGGATTGCGACAGACGAGACTGAGCGTCGCCGCGCGAAGCTGTTCCGCCGCGAGCCGCGCATGCGCAGACCGCCCTTCCATCCCCACCACCGATCCTCACTCGAACCATCCGTAAGATCGTGCCACTCTTTCGCTCTTCGTACCTTCTCTATCGCGCTCGAGCATCGCCACCGTTGCACGCACACGATCAACGGCTCGCGCTCTGATCTTATTCCACACCTCCTTTAGGGGTGAGATGAAGAAAGAGGGAATCGAGTGCGGGCTCTCCTTCGGATTCAATTCGTCGACCGAAACTTTTTGTTAAATAAGCTTTGTTACGTATCATCATTCAGACGTATTGTTGAGGTCTTCCAGCTTACTCGGCCGCGTATTTCCAACGTCTGCATGGGTCCTAGCGGACAAGCCGTTGAATGGTACGCGGTAGACCGCAAGCATACTACGTACGGTGCGATATCTCCGGTATACTGGCCGCTCTTGTTCGTCCCGCATGGCTCCATGACCTGTCCGCAGGCGCCAGTCTCGAACTGCGTAACAACATATGCTGATCTCTCGCCCCAAGGCACATCGACAACACGATTCCGGAGTCGCGGGCAAGTTGGAGGATGGTTGCGCGCGGACATCGGTAACGACAGTTAGGAAATCTAAGTGGTCGATGAGTAACGCGTTCACAGTCCTGTATCTCCTACGCTCAACGATTACATTTACGCGCGATTTACGGCTCATAAAATTTATGACCGAGCAAACTAACCGTGCACGCTTTTCGCGACAAACCTGGCGCCCCTCCTTTCAAAACTGTCCCGCGGATCTTTAGGTTCGACGTTGGGTCGACGCGGAACTGGGTGATATATTTCAAATAGTCTATTTTATTTCTGGTCGTGAATTGTGAGAATAGAATCATTTATTTGATGCAATGGGTTGTTAAATTATATGAGAATTTTATTTGAAGGATATTGAAAATAGTGAAGCTATAAATATTTTAAAACTTTTATTCCTTTTTATTTGAGTTAATTTGTAATATTTAAATATTATTGCTAAAAAATCATGAAATATATTTCATAGATAATATACCCATGATAATAGTAATGTGGCAGAATTAGGATTATTGTAAGATTTGCGGAATATAAATACATAAAATGATTGTTTTTTATTATTGCAAAACGAAGGCGAGTCTTGGAACAATGAGCTCTCTATGTGATCCGACTGTTTAAAGTAGAATTGTCTATTGTGATAGACCGTCTTTCCACGTTAAGTGGAAGCTATCGATCACTCACGCGAGATATGATGCAATCTTCTAATCTTAATATAATGAATCACTCCACCGTTTATTTCCAGCTGTTTTTGTGTCTTATACATAACGCAAATGCATTTGCAGGACATACGTACGTCCTTCATGAAATGCAAAGGAATAGTTTAATCCTTGAACAGCAGAGGCTGGGTCAATCGCGACTCAAACTTACAAAACATATATGTACAAGGATATTGGAAAAAGTATAAGAATTTGAAAATGAAAATAACATGAAAAACAAAAGTAAATTAAAGTTGTCGTTCTCTCCATGGCCCCCGTCTGAGGGTTGAATAGTTAAAACAATAACTGTAGCTCGATTAAATGTCAAGTGAACTGAATTTTCATTCCGAAGAGATATTTGAGATACATATTTCAAATACAAAATTAAAATACTTCACTTGATGCTTAAGGTTATTGAAATATAAACATATGATTTGTTAAAATTTTGCTTCCTATTTAAAATACAACTTTATTTCAACAAATTTGACCTAGTTTTAATTCAGTGTGGAATTTGATTAATAAGTTTTCAAATTTGCACAAATCTTATTAATTTTGTTCTACAGAAATAACTGTTCTTAGGGATATAAATAATTACTATTATAGTTAATAATTACTAGCTATTTATAGTCATAAATTTTAATTATAGTTCAACTGTTGAACATGATAGCTCAGAAGTACCTTTTACACTTGTAAGTAATTTATCGTACCTGCATAAAACGTAATAAAGGAGGTTATAAAATTTATTGAGTTGACTACGCAGTTTTATTTGAATAAATGCTCTAGATTGCAATATAGATTTTTGGAAAAATTGTTTTTTTAATACTTCACCTTCTATGTAATCTTTATGGACTAGTAAAGCCGGTTGTGCCAGTAGGTTCTTGAATACCCTTGCAAATGAACTGTTTGAGCAGTATTTATCACTTTGGTTTGTGGGTAATATATCCTCGGAACTTGTTGTCAGAACTGACAATATTTCCATAACGTACGTCCAAATTAATAAATGGAGGTATGTGGGAACTTTTCCAAACCAGTACGATTAATATTTAAGTACATGCAATATAAAATCTATGTAAATTACACGAAACATTGTAGAATATTGGTACAAAGACTAATGTTTTATAAAAGTTTTCTCAATTTCAAGTTTAAAATTTCTTCAAGGACTCTACATTTTGAATTCATAACAGAAACTAAAGTTTTGAGTATTTTAACATGCTAAGAATCTTCCGAACTATTTCTTCTTTTTATAAGCAATTTTGGATTACCATTAAACATTTCTGTTATCATTTAAACCTTGGACAGCGAAATCTGGGTCAATCGAGACCCTAACTTACAAACCATATACAAGGGCGTTAACCTTAAGTTAAATGTATAATTTGTAAACGAAAGAGTTTCATGGAGTGGTCCGCCACCCGAGGGCAAAGATATTTTTATTAAAAGTAATTTTAAACTCATAAGTCTTTTTCCTGCAACATTTAATACATTTTAATTCAAAGTGTTGTACCAAATATCTTATAGCTGTCAATCACTAAATTATTTATCTACTCATCGACTAAATACTTATGTATAAATTTATCCTTTTAGTGTTGGAAGTTTACATAATTTTCTAAAAATAAGACTTGATCACATAATTTAATGTCTATGCATGATAAGAACTCCAAGTACACCTCTGGGTATGAAAAATTATTTAGAACAATTACAACAAACCGAAGAGTCAAAATTAATGCAATGACCCTCCTCCTCAGTCTCCAGGTCTTAATCTTATTGATTATTATCGTAGAAAGAATTGGAGTACATGAAAACAGTACCCTACATCAAAAAAGCCTTTAGTCTATAAGGTTTAGTAGCTACTTAGGATTTAATATATTAGGTATAGATTAGCCATAGTTAGTATAGTAACAATCTCCATAGAAAACAAAATTCCTGAATACCATAGATGGCATATTAAATTTGACAGGTTTTTAAATCTCGGAACAATTGATTTGACTATTTAATATTGTACATAAAAATATAATGTCAGATATAAGGCATCTTTGTTCTAATGTCAACACATAGGTGTTCCAGATAAGAAGTGGCAGCTCCTCTAATATACGATATTTTCCAGATCCTTGAATTTTTATTGAACAATTTGTCGCTTAAATACGTACGCATTGGTAACGAATATCGCAAAGAAGGTCAGCACAAGCAGTACCTTAGCGAGAGCACATCCGCGATCCCAATTTATCTTTTCCTGGCCCGTTCTTTCCCTCAGCCTTTGTCGCCTTTCTTTCTTTCCCCCTTTCCGCCTTTTCCTTTTTCATGTCTCGTGAATCTTGACCCCGGAAGTGCCTAGAAGGAAAAGGGGCAGGAGGAGGTAGCAAAAGGCAGCAAGAGCCAGCTGAAATATTACGAAGACATCATTCGTTACCGCTGCGTCGTTTATCCGTATCGCCGTACCGCCTCGAACATATAAAACTACCTTTCATCCTCGTTCATCGCGATTCGAGTTGGATCGGTGTCTACCAAACGTAGCTGGGATTCGCAAGATCGCACTTTAATAGGACAGCCGAACCGGAAAAAAGAAAACAGGGTTCCTTTTTTTCTCCTAGAACCGGCCCAACGGCATTTCCTCTTACCCGGGACAGGAAGCAAAGACGTCTGAATTATCGTACGTTACTTATTTCTTCTTTCCACGTGTCGTTCTTTACACCAAGGGCGTCTGAGTATCATTGGCGTAACGAGGATTTTCGTCCCTTTGCTTTACTAAAAGGGTTAAGTGTATAACGGTATTTATAGTGATGAGATCAATTTCAATATGAGGCAAAGTAGATTTCTCTAGGATAAATGACGCTATAGAGGAAGAATGCTACTCCACTTATTTGTATATATTGGGGAGAATTGTATTTATTATTTATTTTATTACAAGGTAATGTTTTTTTAGTTGTTTCTTAAATTTTTTAAAATTAATTTTTAAGGTAACTAGCATTTTTGTTTGGGATCCCTAGCTTTACTAAAAGGGTTAAGTGTATAGTAATATTTATAGTGAAAAGATTAAGTTCAATATGTATAGTATGAGGCAAAGTAGGTTTCTTTAAAGGGAGTAGGTTTCTTAGTCGTATATTAAATGTTTCTAAGCTAATTTTTTAGGTAATTGAAATTTTTATGCGGGGTCCCCTAGCTTTAAGTGTTAAGCTAAAAGTGTTAAGTGTACAGTAATGTGTACAGTTTAGGACAAAGTAGGCTCCTTTAAGCAAATGACTTCATTCACTTGTAAACATTTGCTCAGAAAAGTTTTATTTATTATTCATTTTGCTAGTAGACAATATTTCTTGGTATATATTAAATTTTTCCAAATTATTAAGTTAATACATAAATTATTTCTAAATTAATCTTAATATTAATACCTTAAAATATAGAATGTTTGAATATTTAAATATATGTAATGAAGAACATAATTCAACTGATATTGCTTTTTCAAAAAATTATAATGTATAATGTAGAATAAACAGCTCCATATCATTTTAATATATCATTTATGGTATTAATTTTTAATGTATTTATGAATACATTTAACACCTTGTCCAAAGATCTCTTGCTAAAAATATTAACAATACCACCAACCCTAAAAGAATCTGAAACAGTCTACTTTCTATTAATTTACAAATAAATAATAATTTTTTGGAAAAATAGTTTCATTGATTCACTTTCACTCCTCATTATATTTCTATTAAGATACAATTTTATTAGCTGATTATTATACTTT